CTGAGCGTGTAATGTTAATTTTACCTGTGATCCTTTGAATAAATCAGCACTGTTTTGTAGTTACTTGGACTGTCTCGTCTCTCAGAGTCAGTATGGTAAAAAGTACCGGGTACAACACAGCTGAGCCTTATTTAGGTCACAGTCAAGCAGCTATTGTCTCGTACAACCTGAAAAGTTACTCCTCTTTCTGGCCTGTTTGTTATTTTTGCAAAATATCCCTTGGTAATTCACTCTACATAGACCTTGCATAAGGCACAGTTATTTTAAAATGCATTTGTGTAATGTCACCAGGAAATGAAACAGACTTAGTATCTCTCCAAAATTGTGAAATGTTAGTCTCTTTCAATGCGCACATACACTGATATTTATTGCAGGTTGTAACTGTGTTGTCTCCGTACAGCTATTTTTTACAGATAAGATACGATGTCCTCAAATCTGAGAGACCCATTGATGTTGCAATCACAAGTGTTTTTGAAGAAATACATTTGCTCTTCAGTGTAGGACTTGTTGCACTTGTATTAAACACAGAAGAAAAGCTGTGGACACAAAATGTTCTCTCTCCAGGCAACCGTGTTTTTCTCCAACAACAGAACAGTGTTTAATGGATCTGTGTTTGCCAGAGGAGTCTGAAGTTGTTTTCCTATGCTGGAGCATGAGGAGAGATGGAGGGCCTCCATCAATTCATCATCTTATCAGTGAGCACTAGGCAGAAGTAATCAGGGTGGCTTTGTGCCCCTTTGTGCTAGGCTGTGTAGATATCATTTTCCATTGTGCAGTGCTTGTCACCAGCACCATCCCTGCTCTCCTTCTTTGTGTCTTCAAATCTGGCATGCTGTCCCATGACTTTGGTGATGTAGTGAAAATCACTGCAGCATCAGTGGAACAAACATGAGTTTTACAGTCACAGCAGCCCTCCACACTACCAACACATATAGCATATATGTAGATCTTGACATGTCTATCATTTAATGGCACGCAACGCAACGCAACCAATAATCATGTTCTCTCACGACAATCGCGCAGTTTCCCAAAAAGGCAAC